GCGATACCCAATTTATTCAAGAGAAGAAAAAAATTAATTCGGTAGTGCTAAACGAAGAACAAGAGCAAAAAAATATTGTCTATTGCATGAATAATGCAGATATATATGAAAAAAGTGATCTAAAATATTTTTGAGAATAAACATTATCTTATCCCTTATCGCACAATTTTTAGAGGAAACAATCAAAAACAATTAACAATAACCTTTTTCTGAAGAAAGACTGGTGCTCGCCACTTGCGACAGATGTCGCATGAGGGGGCGGAAATAAAGAAATAAAATTTGATAATAATCTTAACTGCAATAAAAATGAAACGCAAAAAATGAAAAATATCTGCTCTACATTTTTTTTCAATTTCCCATTCTTTCACCCACGTTCCCACAAGAGATAAAGGAAAATTTCCGAATTCATTTTTTTCTTCCCTTGAAGAATCGGATTCTTTAAATAAGGGAAAATATGAATGAAATTAGAAGAAAATCTCTTTAATTTTTATTATAATCTCGATTAACAGAACTAATTTTTAAAATGCGACTTTGCAAAAATAAAATTACAATGACCTTTCTTGTTAAAAGTGCTTCCTTAGTTTCAAATGGCCGCTTTTCAGTTTGAGTTTATTATCTGATAAGTGCGATTCATTATTATTTGATAATATGAGTTTATTTGCATCTTTTCTGCCAGAATACTTCAAAAAAGTAGTATTTTTTAAAAAATGGTTTTAAATACTTCAAACAACCAATATCTACAACAAACATTAATGAAAGCAAAATATTTATGTATAAAAATTTTATAAATTCTTTTCCAAGGCAAAAACGGAACAAAATTTCTTGTACTGTTTTACTCTTAAATTATTGAAAATTGAAAAATAACTTTATTTGATTGAATTTGCGTTAAAGAATTAGATGAGAATGAAGCAAATACGACTTGCAGCTGGAATAAACTCCCCTTTGCTTGCAGATTTAGAAGGCATTTTTTACAGAAAATGGTAACTGTTCATACAATACACAAAGAAATAAAATATCGAAACCATCTGAATATTGATGGTAAAACCGCAATACAAAAGTAGATCAAATAAGAATTGATCAACTGGTTGGGAACAGATCATTCTAAGCTGGAGAAAACGTATCTTTAACTATTATAATACATGACAGTCGCAATTTGCACAACTTTCTCGAACTTCCTTTGCCCAAAAAATTTATTTTCTGCATTCATTTCGACGATATACAAAAATGAACGCTGTCAAAGAGAAAGTAAGTGGTCTAACTTCCAGCCTTTATTGTGATGCGTCCTAAGTAAATGCTTTTTTTTAATTTTTTGCAAGATTTTCTGATTTTTGCTGCTTTAACAACAGATTTCAATCGGAAAAGATAAAAAACGAGATTTGGCAGTTTGGCAATCTACATATTCGCGTCCCATTACGAATACCCAAATGTTAACAACAAATTATTATATAAATTATTATGTTGAGAAGAAAAAAATTTTAAGATTAATCTGAATAATAAATTAATGCAAACAGTAAACTGTATTATTTAATGATGCTGAAGTTCCACTTCCTGCGGAAGTAAACCTGGATAAAGATAGGGGTGATGCTGATGACTTATTTGCCGAGGGATTCCCTGGCATATTTGCCTAGTATAACAAGCCAATGAAGCGGCCCAATCAGTAATGGTGAGGTCTCTTAAAAAAAAGACACTTGGAAAACTATTCCCTTATTTGATATTAATTATTGGTGGAACAAAACAGCGAATGGAAAGAACACGAAAATGAAGCAGTATGGAAGACCAGGAATAAGGAAAAAAAAACATAAAACGAACAAGATGACATACATGGACAGTTCCCTTACTAAAATCTCGTCTGGCAAATTCTTTTTACAATTTCAGTTTCCAAAAAAATCAAATTTTAGTGCAAAAATACGAGATTTCGAAAATTTTCTGAAATAATATCAACATGCATTAACAATGTATTACTATGGCTCCCATCCAAACTTCAGCAGAGATGATAACTGTTTTTTCTTCTTTTTCTTTTTACTATTACTGGTTAAGATGGCTAAAAGCGTAAGACGTTTTCAGGCTGCATCTGATGCCATCGTCCACAGTAATAGAAGCCATTCCTTTTTCCATCGTGCATTGATGGCCCACCTATACGTTCAAAATCTTTCCCGTGTCAGTCCAAGTCTTGATTGGCCTATTTCGCTTTTGATGCCAGCCAGGGTTTAGCAAATAACAAAATATCTATTAACTGCTACGATGGACGAAGAACGTTCCCTAACCAGCGAAAGCGATGCTTTATGATGGTACTACTGTTAATGCAAGTGGTATTTGAACAAAAATGGATGCGATTATGTGAGATGTGAGATTTTGTCTACTGGGCGAACGCGTAAAATGTACCTTAGACATGGGTGATCAAAGGCAGATAATTTCTTAATATGCTCCACTCTCATTGGTCATATATTGCAGCCATATAGCAAGATCGAACGAATCGTGGCTATAGATGAAGACTTTCATTTTTATGGTGATTTCACGACGGCTTCATAAAGGTTTCGGAAGAACGTACTTCCAGCTGTTTATTTCATTTTTCGCCTGACCATTCGGTGTTAGAGTGGATTCAAGGTATTTAAAATCGAGCACTTCATCAATCGGCAATGAATAAATACAAAAAGATATTTTATAAAATTGATTATTTTATAAAGATATTTTATATTTTATAAAATATATAATTGTTATATATCATATATAAATTGTTATATATTAAATAAAAGGCTTTCCATTCATCTTAAGTCCGATTCTCGCTACTTGTTGACACATTGCTTAGCATTATTTGCATTTCATCATAACTGTCAGCAAAAAGGACTGCACCATCAGCGTATTAAGTCCATATTCTGAACTGATTTACCTTTTGAATGCCGACAAGTGGTGTCCATTATTCAGTCTATCGCATAGCTGAATACGTAGAGGAAAAGACGCAGCCCTAACGGACACCAGTTCTTATTTCGAAGGAATTTGTTAGTTCCCCATATACAAAGATCTGCGCCAACGTATACTGATAAAATATCTTTATGAGCCGAATGATCTTCTCTGGAACACCGTCGCGTTCCATCACCCTCCAAAGTGCCGCTCAATCAATTGGATCAAGTCGCAAAGCCGATGAAACACGTAGCGGTGGGTTGCGGATATTTGAAGCGATGTTCTAAAACTCTTCTTTAACTGAATAAATAGTCACTACAACAGAGCCCCAGTCTAAATCCAGCTTGATTAGGGCACATCCTCCTATCTTGTACTGCCATAAGTTTATTGAGTAAAAGTCCGTTAAGTCCATTTGGATAGACATTTAAAGATGTTCCAACATTCTTCTTGACGAGAATATTTGCGCCTGACTTAAATCCAGTTTGATTAAGGAGCATCCTGTCGTACTACCATAAATCTGTTGAGTTAAAGGGAAGGAAAAAATTTTCGCATCTAGTAGGCTAATTCCTTGACAATTATCGCAGTATGTCCTGTTGCCTTTCTTGAAAATTGGGAACAGAACTGCTTTGTTCCAGTCATCTGGTAATATTTCTTTTTTTCCATGCCAGAAAGTATATTTGTTAAAGGTGCGTTATGAAGAACGATGGACAACTTTTGAAGAGTTCACCATTATCGCAAAATGCGATGTTTTTATTATTTCAAATTTATTATTTCAAACGAGTTATCCCAACCAGCCAAATGAAGCCTTTCATTAAGGCTTTTATTAATTTTTTGCCTTTACATATGTCATTAATTCACTAAGGTCACTTTTCAAATTGTATTCACCTTTCAAGGAAAATTACTTTTCTATTTCATTTGTGGAGGTTGGGTCTATTTCATTATTTTATTACTTAAAATTACTTTTTATTTATATATTCTTATTGTCGTTGATATAGTTGTCTTTCTTTTTTTCCTATCGGTGTGTTATTAATGGCTTAATTACCCAAGTTTGAAGTGTAGAGTGAAGAACAAATTTTTGATTACATGCGATGATCTTCTACTGTCCAGTTAAATATTAAAGCGTGGCAGCCGAGCATAATTCCACTGCCTTTATTTACTAATCTATTTTTTAAACCATCTTCTCCCAGAATCTTATTAGCTTCAAGCTTCTGTTGGCGGCTCGCGATTGTGAACGTATGGTTCGGTAAACGTATCAGCTATATCAGGGCAACAGACGGTGCTTCATGGTTTAATTTGGCTTCAAGGAATTCCTTCCATCTTATGAGGCGGTTTTCCTAATCGGCACCTCTTGGTCACGTGACACTTGGCCACGTTAGAAGAATATCTCATTAATGAATTGGAACTGTGAATTCTACTGTGTAGCACTTTTATTTCGATAAATACATTGATTATTGAAAAATATTGGCGATAATAAATCTTACAGTACGATAAATTCTTCCATTTCAAACGACAGAAATGTTATTTGCGAAAAAAGGAAGAAAATTTAGGACTTTTAAAAAAGTGGCAAACTGTTTTATAATTATTAGAAAATTTGAATCCAATTTGAGTCCCATTCAACACGGCAAAAGAAAATAATAGACATGGGATGATGAAGGAAGAATGGGACGAGAGGAGGTGGGGGAGATTTTTTGACAACGGTTTACGGCGAGCAAGGGGCGAGGCACTCGCTATGGGTGCTCGACTTTACATGTATAATCCCTGTCGGATATACTGACAAGTTCAGCCGACAAATCCCACAGTACTTATTAGTACCACTGTCGAATCAATTTTTACCGAAAATCCATTTTAAAATTTTCTATAAAAAATTAACAAAAAAAAAGTCTGTCAGAACGAAACCTTTAAACGACATTTTACCTATATAATGGAAGGCCAGCTTTTGCATGCATGAAGCCGTAACAGGAAAGTACCGAACTACCGAAGTCTGTGGACCTTCCCTAGTTGTAATTTTTCATCTAAATTTTAAAAAAATAGCAACTGTATTTTAAAATCGAAATCGCATTTGGTCCGTTGTTTAGATATATAAATCGCAGCTGCGGACTAAAATGTCACGAGTTCCTATCGTTTTCTGCAATATTTGGTTTTTGCCAAAGCGTTTCTCGGGCATCGGTTTTGGGCGTGTTGATACACTAAAGTGGCGTTGTTGCCCCGTGTTTTTTTGTTAATTCGATGCCGAGTTCGATACTTTTCGGTTATCTGGGATGCGCTTCGTTGAAATGGAAGGAAAAACGAAAAATTTTTTCATCCATTTATTTTAAATTATTGAAACTATTGAGGAAAAAAGAGAAAAGGATTAATTTTCATTTTGAATTGTCAAAAATAGGCGAAATCGTAATTTGAATCGTTCGTTTCAACTTTTTCTCTGAAACATTCATGTATTAAGTTAAGACGGTTAAAAATTAAATGGTTAAAATCGCTTTCCAGAATCAAATTTGATGAGATTATCGTCTTCGGAATTGCTTTGGATCCTTTCCTCCGACCAGCACCATTAATTGGTGCCACGAGTCTCTGTTCACCGTTCACCACGTTTGATTTGGTTCGATTCATTGATTGTTATGGTGGTCTTCTCAGCGTTCCTGTAAAATGTTATGTTCTGTCGCTATACCAGTGCGTCTCTAGCGTTCTCTGAAATTTCTGATGGTACGGTTAATTTTTATTGACTGATTGAGGGTTCGAAACCATGGTACTTTAATTAGAATTTTAAGTAGCATACCTCTCATCCATCTTTTCTTTATCAACAACAGAGATGAATTCTCCAAATTTCTTTTGCAATTTTAGATTTTTCAGACCTTTTTTCTCAAAATTGTTGTTTCAGAATTGTTAATTAAAATAGATTATTTTCAATACTAAAGAAAAAATCTTGAAATCTTTCTTCTTATTAATTATATTGCTTTGCATCATTTTTATAAATAAAATTATTTATTCCACTGAGTATATTCGATTATTTGGGCAGTTGAGGGATTTTAAACGCTCAATGACAGGTTAACTTTCGTTCATATGATGAATGATAGTTGAGAATTTTCCATTTAGTTGGTTTTCTCGGATTCAGAATTACAAATGATGCCTTTTTGACCAAAAGTGCTTATTACTTTTCTGGTTTCGTTGGTTTTACTTTTTTGTTGAAACCATAGAGAATTTGTGAGTAAAAGTGCAAATGAATATGTGCTATCGCGATTTATTGAATTCCGTTAAGAGGCAGAACCGTTACATTGCCTAAAGAATAGATTCTAACTAAACCAAATCTTTTTCCTCTATTACACATGTTCTTTTTTAAGGGCAAAATAGTTGAATGGTTTTTACTTGCATTATCGTTTCGAGCGTTAAGGTGTTGCTGATCTATCTATACTTTTTTCCCCAAGAGACTACGTAGTAAAATTCCTCGCCTTCATATCAACCGGACCAGTGAGTGTAACCAGAATTGATGAGAGCTGACCACACATTTATCCTTTTTCTCTCAATTATATGCACATAATCGTTGATCTCTAGCATATTTATTTAATTAAAAAGAAAGATATAAAAATACATTGATGATAATTTGCAGTATCGAGTAACAATACATTGAATGTATGCGATATTTTCATTTATCAATGAATAATCATCGATAATAAGCAGTGAAATAAGAAAAAATGTGGGAAATAAAAATACTTCAAAATACAATAAGTGAAGTGAAACATTTATTTCTATGCCAAACATGGAATAAAAAACCGGTTACTTGTTTTTTTCTGCAACAATGATAAGATTAATAAGCACTGGCTTGTTGATAACTGATAATATTGTTGTTGTGAATTATGATATGTTTATTATCTATTTAAAAAACTAAATTTAAATTTTGAGGAAAAGAAAAAACATCAAAGTTTGAGGTATTTTTTCATATACTATCAAGTTATATAAGAAAAAACAGAAAAATGAAACAAGATTTGGTGCTACAAATGGAACTTTTCAAAAAAATAGTGAATGAAACAACGAACAAAAAAGCCTATCGGAAACTAAAGAAAAATTTTTTTGAAAATAGCGAGATTTATTTGTTAGAGAACCTTATAAATTACAAATAAACTCTTGTTTAACGACAAACTTACTTTTCTTTTATTTCGAATTGATGAAATCTAATTTTCTACGAGTTTCGAAAATAAAAATTTGTTTCAAGATACATTCAAAATGAAAGAAAAGTTCACTAAATCATAAACTAAAGTTTCAGAAATCATTTCACGAATTATTATTGGAATCTGTTATAAAACGATAATATATTATGCAAAAAAAGGAAATTAAGAAAGGAATAGAAGATTTGATGATTGAGAGCATGCAATTTCCATCATTTTGGTTAGATTCTTCATTCAAACTTTTATTTTATTAAAAAAAGGAACTAAATTTTTCTTAATCTAATGAAAAATAAAAATTTATTAAAATACAAGCTCTTTCTTATTGTTTTTATACATCCATCTTGTGGCTTTTTTTGATAAATTTTTGACAACAACAAAACACGACAAAAAGAACAAAATTTTTAATAATGAATAAAGTAGTATGAAGGATGGATGGATGCATAAAGCAAAAAAGATCCAAAAAAGAGATTCTACTGTCCAACTATTGTTTGAGGAACTAAAAGAAAAAATGAATTGCATAAATTATTACACCTGAAGACAATAACAAATGGGAAATCCTGAAAATATTTTAAAAATATCCTGGAATATGTTTAAAAAAGGCGATGAAAACAAATAATAGTAAACAAAGAAAGACCCATACAGTTTAATGGTACATAATTACTCAAGCAAAAAAGAGATTATTGCCAATCATAACAATTAACATCTTATTAATACCAAATAAGCAATCCTAGATTGTTATAGATTTTTTAAAGGCTATTTTGACGATCGTTTTGGCAACTAGAACATTTTACTCATTTATTGGGGAAATAGAAAAATATATTTATCATCCCAATAGCAAGTAGCAGGTGGATTTAGCCGAAAAAATAACTAATAATCTAAAACAATAACTGTTTTAGTAATGAGCCCCTAACACTTCATGAAATTTCATGAATTTGGTCAATTTGAATAAATGGTACCATTATAAGTAATTTTCTAGCGCTGAATAATTTAATTTTTATATTTTCTATTGTGTTATATGGCGCACAAATAGGTATTTCTCTAACATTCGACCTTTAGAAGAATTTTTTAAATTTATTTATTAGATTTATTAGATTTAATTTCCTTAAAATAGTCGCTGTGAATTTGAGAAAAATGATTTAGAGATTAAAAGAGATTATAGAGATTAAATAAAAAGGTTTTTGCATGTTTTCTTTGCTTTATTCCAATATTTTTCAATTTCAGTCATTACATTTTCATTTTCATTTTTTCGAAGTAAAGGGGATATTTTTGATTTTTCGAAATTCGAGAGGATTTCTTTTCTATTTTTATGGGATTGCTAATGCCGTAATGAATCAATCTTTATAAGACATGGGAATATAAAAAAGAGAATCTCGTATATTCTCTTTCTGAAATTTTTAATAAAATTATTTAATTAACTGTAAATTTAGCCCTTTTATTAGTAAAATATGCCCTAAGAAATTTTTAATAATGAATGCTAAAATGAAGAATTTAGTTTGTTCCAACTTCAAACGGGACGATGTTTGATTTCAGGAGGAGCTAGATTGAAATTGGCGCTTACTATACGTTGAATATAACTCTCAGATACGTCATCAGCTCCTATTGTCCACATCAATGAACACCAATTAGCAGATCGAGCTCGAACAACATTTTCATTAACTTTTTCCAGCGCTGATGAAAGTTCACGAATTTCTCAAAAATGATATAATTATCGAAAATAAAATAAATAAAGTAAAACGAGCGCATTCAAGCGGATAGACGACACAATGATAAACTGTGGAAAAAGAAGTGACACCGATTTGTTATTATCGTCAATGGAGCCAGCTCCAACTAAGAGAACTGTGAATTCGAAGAAAAAAATTAAGCAGAAAGAAGTTTATGTTTCTTAATGAAATTTTTTGAAGAATCATAAAATTTTGAGCCAAGTTTTTCAAAAAATAAAGATTAACCTTGATAATCGCCATCTATACGTAGGCTCATTTCGCCGCTGAAGATTTTTTTTATTAGGTTCTTCTCATTTTCTCGTTCTGACTGCAATCGTTTTATTGAGTCGAAAAATCCTTGAAGAGCACCATGAACGTCTGGTGGTAAAGGTGCATTACGTAACTGCTCCATCTTCATTAGTAAGGTAACAATTCGCGCATGTTCCCTATAAATAAATTAAAAATATTAATATAGAAATTTAACATTTTTATGAAATTTTTTATAAAATTTTTATGAAATAATTTTATATCATCAATCTGGAAGAAAAATAAATTGCCTGAAGAAATCAACAATAAGCCTGTCAATACGTGTTGGTAGAGGTGCTATTCGTGGAATAGGTATGTTATTTGTTGATGAAATTTTTTTGCCAAGGTTATGTCGAGCTAATTCAGCTTCAGTTTTTTTCCGTTCTTTTTCGAGTTGTCGATATTGTTCAGTACAAGCTTCCAAATTAATATATAATTCATTAAAAAGTGATAGATCTCGTGAAGTCGAAGGACACTGTAAATCATTCATTTTTTCATTGTAAAAATCTTTTAAGTTTTATTCGAAGTTCATTCGATTGGGCAAACTGGAAACTAAATTCATTTATTTCTTTTTTTAAAAATATTTTTTAAAATCTTTTATTGAACGATCTTTTTTATTTCCTCTAGTTCATAAAGTTTTAATGAAAATAAAATATTCAGAATGAATTTTAATTTTTAAAGAAGACTTACATGTAAATTCCAAAGCTGTGGATTTGAATATATCTGACCGCTTGCGAGAAGATAGCACAGATGTTGCAAATATAATCTGTCGATAATCTGTCCTTCAACCGCATTTAAATACTTCATTCTTGCAGAATTAGGATCAATTTGATACTGATTTACTGAAAAATAAATCTTAATGTATTTCAGATATATGGTTTCACTTCTCCAAACACTATTCATTATTTGGCTGGATACTAGAATATACGGATTTTTAGCCTTATACCTCATTTTCAATGGTAATTTTGGTCTAATTAAGAGACAAAAATGAATACTTAACAGTCGAAAATAATACTCGACCATCCTGCTTTATGGTTAGTGTTTCAATTTTTTCTAAAAATATACCCGAATGATTCTGTTGCAGATGTTGCACTCGTTTATGTTGTTGTTGCTCCTGTTGTCTTTGCTGTTGTCGTTGATGTTGTGCAGAAAATGCAGGTAACCATGCATTATTATTCGAAACTAACGGTGAAATCCTTTTTTCGTTCATATTAGGTCGGTTATTATTCATCGAAGAATTCCAGTCGATTAATCTTTGTTCATCAGATTTCATAGATAATTGTGATGAAGATTGTTCAAAATAGAATGGATTGAGATTCTTTAGATACTGAAAGAATTGAAGAATTTATCATCTAAAAATGAATTAGAGCAGAACATTTCAAAAAGACATTTGATACTCATTTTTGTCTTTTAATGATTCATAACGATAATTCATAATTTAGTTATATAATGTAACAATTCTATGATAGGAACCAGTTTTAATGTGCTCATCACTTAAAAAAATGCTTAAAAAATGTACCTCAGCTAAATTATGAATAGAATCCTGGTTTTCCTTTGTTTGCAGCAGCGACGCTGAACTTGAGGCCGATGAAGGCACGGTGGATGCTGTTGATGAGGATGGAGACGAGGAAGATGGAGATGATGATGCTAATGCAAATGATGAAATTATAGTGGGTGATGAAGATGGGGAGAGGGACAATCTTGGGCGAAATTCTCGTTCATGATCAAATGGCATCCAAAGGTTGTTTGAGAATTCTTGTTTACCATTCATTGACTGCACAGTGTTTCCTTTTTTACATGTTTTTAATGGAACAGCATAGTCGGGTTGCATCCACTTTAAGCTATTTTCTGTTGAAATTTGTGATTGTTTTGATCGATAGTTATCAGCATCAAAAAATTTAACTGGATTTCGAATGTTATTCGTTTCTTCATTATAAATATCGAAGAAATTTTGTTGATAATCGTAGTTCACTGGTTCTTCTGGTGAATGTGGTGCTGATTTCGAATAATTTGGCAATAGATCGCTTAAATCACAATCAAATGCATTCTCCTAAAGCAAAGATTATATAAGAAATCTTTTAGTATACAGAATTTGTTTTTTTATAAATTCTTTAATATCATTATCAAAACTCCTTCTTTACATTCGTAATAATTATAATAAAATTAAATTATACAATTAAAACTTGATAGAAATTATAAGCTGCATAAATGCGAGAGAGAAACAAAGAAAGAATGACATGCAAAAATGGCTTTAATTGTCTCGGAAAGCTATATTGCAGATTAAGGAATCAAAAATGATATTGTAAGCTGATAAAGTTCAAGTCTAAAACGGGAAAATATTATCCGTTAAAATTAAAATTATAAAATTATTTTGCTGATTTTATAAACTTACTGAATATTTTTTTTCAATTTTTTTTTCAATTTTTCAATTACTCAATGTAAAACTGGAACTTATAAAATAAAATATAAAATATGAAATTTAGTTAAAGGATGGTAAATGAATGGTTAGCCATTTCTGGTTAGGTTAGCTCCATTGGTTGTTAATAATTTGAGAAACACAAGTAGAATGATGATTTTTTAACAACTGATTTATTCCTATTAGGCACAAGGCTAGAATCCCCTCAACATGATAACGTAATTTTGAAGGGTAATTGGATTTTATAATTTTATTATTTCCTCAATTCCTTTTAGTTTGTTTCCCTTCCTCCTCCATCCTCTCCTCTCGTCTTTTCCTCTTACCCACTTAAAATTTCACCATTTCCATCATACAATTTTTACATGACTACTGAATTAAGAGTGCAAAATACAAAAAAGTGTGATAATAGAAAAAAAATGAAACTGTACGAATCTTAACGTACCAGGCACCAAAATCACAAGTAAAATATTTATTTCTCTTTAATCTTTTCACCTCTTTTTTTACATTTCGTAAAATTCTTGTGACAGAATTCTATTCTGATCATAAAATTATCAACCTCAAAAATTCTCAAACCTTTCCATTCCTATTCTATTTCTAATTTCTTTTTAAATTTTTTGAATTTCTTAAATCACCAATTATATGATTAGAAATCAGTTATCTTTTCGTAGGAATATTTCGTAGAGTTGAGATTCCTGTCCAGGTGAAAACTTGTTATTTAATTCAAAGTCCAAATGAATTCTGAGTTAGCCAGCCAGCCAGCCAAACCAAAAGTTTTTAAGAAAAGATTATATTTTTTAAGGAGATTCATTTGTATATAAATCATTAATGGATGGTAGTGCTAAGCGCTGTTGCTTGCTGTTAATAATAACAATAATAACAATAAGATGAATAACAGCAAATATATAACATCAATATTACGAATCAAATTTGCTTCCTTACTATTGTTTTATATTGTCTTTATTGCTTTTATTAGCTGGCACTTAGGCTATTCTTCCAATACGAAATAAATTTTAGCAGCAATTAATAATAATTAAGCGCAAGCTTTGATACAAGATGTATGTTTATTTATTTATTGGTACAGGATGCATATTTATTTATTAAAGATGAACTAAATAAAAATGCATGAACGTGCATGCAGAAAGCGAAATGCATGAACAAGCAAAAGATGCATTACGTAAATGTGCCGTTTGAAATAAAATGAGAAAAGAATTTTATATGCAAAATTATAAAAAAAACTGTCACATTCTTAGCAAACCTTTTCTTTAGCATATGCACAAACCAGTTGATTCGTAATTAATTTCATAAAATTTAACGATACCAGGCAAACAAATCTCCAAGCATTTATGCATTTTAAACGACTTTAGTTTGAAATAAAATTTTTTTTTAAATTTTAAATTCTTTATTATTGTTAACAGAAAATTTATGAATTATAACGTTCAGCTATCTGACTATTAGCTAAATGAAAAGAATAGGGAAGATAACTGGATTGACTTGTTGATTAGAAGTTTTTGAAGAAAAAAGACTAGCAGACTAACCTTTTGATAAAATGGTGGTATAACAGAGAATGTTGTATATGTTGATAATGTTATCAATCTTATCATATAGGTTTGTAGCTTTTGTATAAAATCTTTTAGGAATTTTATATTTTTCATTATTATTTATCTGTTTTATTTCTTTTTTTCTTAAATTTTCTTAAATCAGATTTCGAACTCTGTTTTCAGATTATCAGAATTATTATTATATTTATGTCGTTTTTTAACTCGAGTAGATTATCGTAATGAAGGGCGATCATTTAATGTAACAGGGCTAAATCTATCATAAAGAAATCGTGTAATGCTAACTTCTATCTCAAAGTGACAAAAATTTCGTATTACTAATGGCCGACAGCTGCGCGAATATGGTTTGTGTTGAACCATTTATTTATTTATTTAAACGATCAATGTATCGTTTAAAATTCCGGAAATTAATCTTTATTTAAGAATTTCAAATACATTTTCAGTACAGAAAACTTCTAATTTTTATTTTAACGATTAATTTAAGTAATAAAGTCCCTATTATACATTCTTTTGAAATAAAATAAACTTAAAAATTTAGTGAAATAATCTTTGAACGATTAAAGATCATTGTAAATAATGAATTTGCAGAACGAATTGAAGAAAAGTAGAGAGAGAGGAAGAAGTAGAGAGAAAAAATTTTCGAAGCATTGCGAACATCATTTCGATGGGTAAATGATAAATGAATAGCAAGGAAAGCTGCTGCAAGTCGATACTAATCAAGGTCTAATCAAGGTTTCGTTAAAACCTAAGTGAAACGCCTGTGATTGAAGTTCACCAGTCCGGTCTCACTAAAATAATCGCCAAACTGAAAAAGGTTTGACCTGGTTAAAATATTCTACTCCCTTGTCACGATTATAATTGCTTTATAACCCATGCAAGAAAATTCTTTTGGCTAAAGAAAATTACTAAAGGCGAATGTGTTTCTCGCTTTATTAATTTATAGAATTGCAAAATCGATGTAATAAGTCTAGTCTTAAATCTTTGGTCTCGCCGAATCCATGAAAAGTCGTCATTCCTTCATATTTCCCAGTCGGACCCAATACTTTTATTCATTAATAATATTCAGGTAATACGAAGTGATAAGAAATGATAAGATGACAATAAATAAAGTTACTTTGACTATCCACCACAAACTTGACTTTTTTCCTTTAATGAAAATAAATCTGCCAAAATAAGCGAAATCCGAATATAATGCTGCGGATCCACTTATTTTTACGCCCTACAAATGATTCTCTGGAGGGATCTCCCCTTAGTAGCCAGTCGTACTAGCTAAGCCAGAAATGGTGTTCAGAAGAAGGAAATTATACGATAAATGACAAGTTGATTATTTATTCAAAGATTTCGTTTGAAATCATGATTGGCGTTTTCTAGAATTTCAATCTGTCCATTCATCTAAATCAAACCATTTCAAGGCCATCATCATTTTTGCATTTTTATAGTCCATGAAGAATCCATAAAATCTTCTTCCTTACTGGATTATGATTTCAATTCCAGATTCCTGGTTTTCGCTTTATTCCCAACGGATTTATTGTTAATTAAACAAAAGAAAGATGATTAAATCAAGAACAGAAATTATTTATTTAAAAATTTTTTTAAATTTTTATATGGAAATTAGGATAAAAGAGAGGAAAGGGAGGAAGGGAGGAGTAGAAAAAAGGAATGAGGTTGTTAGTCGTAAATTTCAATAAAAATTAATATTTACCAGTCGCTGATTAGTACTGCTGGAAATAAAAAAAAGGATATACAAGAAGTGCGAAAATAGCAGTCGTACTAAGCACGAAATCATTATAATTATCTCACGAAAGACCATTTCCATATTTCAACGACATATTTTATATTTTGAAAAAAACAATCGCGATTTTCGAGATTCATATATAACCTATTTGCGTGGAATCCTTACGTGGACCACTTACATCCTTACGCACAAAATAGAAAATACAAATATATTTAACCTAAATACTTCGTTTTCATTTCATTAAATGTGCGACTTTAGATGAAATGTCGGTCAATAATGGAGAAAATTTTCTAATTTTTAAGAAATAGTTTTCTATTTTTGCATTTACATACAGTTTAAAGAATTTTCCCTCTTTTGCTTCTTTCCTCTTCCTCCTCTCGCTTATTATATCCTCTTCCTCTTCCGTCACATTTTCCTAATGCTATTTCATATTTTATCCCATTTCTTATGCTCCAGTTTTATGAATCAATGATGGCGGAAATTCTTTTTCATATTCACCATCTAATTTATATAGGTCAGAATTTCTGCAATCACGGAAATATTTTTAGGCATTTACACATTTCATGAAGGAAATCTTTTAAAATATTTGACATTTTTTATCAAAAAAAAATTGGACGGAATAATTAAAACTTTAACTTCACTTAATTAAAAGCAAATGTGTTATGACGATCTTTTGCGTTTATTTTTTTGCAGTTCTCGACATTTCAATGATATGCGAATGAACGATGGTTCAGGCCATCATGTTGAGAGGCAGAAGTTCCGTTTCTGCCCTCCATAGAAATAAATCCATCATTTAAAATTTTGGATGATGCTGGTTACCCAACAGTTCTATCATCAGATGACTCCCTGGCGAAAATTTCTAACTGAGCTAATCGAACTCAGCTAGAAACGGTGAGCACTAATCAAAAAATTTATGAACATGAAAATATCGTTTAATCTAAAAATCAAATAGGACGGATACATTTGATAATTAGAGATGGAAATATAAAAGGCTTGGGTTACCAGAAAATTTCGATCAAAACCTGCTATTGCATTTCACCGTACTTATTTCACCTACGAATGTGAAGAAATCTGGCAAGCAGGTAAGCAAGCAAATAGGTAAAGCGAGTAAAGTGGATGACACTGTCCGAACATTATTGAGATGGGCTCTCGTTGACCATCTGTTCTTCAAATATTTCATTGGGCAAATTCAAATCTCATTCGTTAGAAGAATACATGAATCGTCAAAGCTTATCTAAATGTATCCATCTATTGATTTTCTTGTCTTTAATTCAAAATTCTAAGTAATTGTCAAGGATTTCCATCAGCCACCAATTTTTAGCCATTCTACTATCTTTCATCATTGCTGGTTAGGTCGTATTATCACCTCAAATTTCTCACTTATTCAGTTTTTTAACAACTAATTTAATTTAATTTCATTAATGTCAAAAGAATCATAAAATTTTAAAATATAATTTAAAATTAAATAAAAAACTGGCTATTTTTTTTAGGGAGGGAAAGAAAAGACAAGAAATACAGCTTTAATAAAAGAGGCGAAATATCAAGGTAACGCTGTTCAATGGGAGTACGCAGCAAACTGAAAAAGAGTGGGGTCAAGTCCAAAAAGGTCAAATTGTATAATGACTATTTGGAGAGGTCAATCAATAAATAATACCTCACTATTACCTCAAAATTACAAAATATAAAGAAAAAACAGAGTTTTAATGTAAATGGATAATAAAAAGACCTTGATCAGATAAGAATTTTTAATTAGATTTAGTTCTATCAAATCGGTTAGATGTCCCTCATCATATTATCAATATTAGACTTATCTTAAACGAAAGCCCAAAAAATAGTAGGAAAAGAAATAGTAGAAAAATAGTAGAAACTTTTTTCCATTGCACAATGTTCACCAAATCTGATTTGGCTAACTTGACTGCCTATAAAGATGAAATTATTTCGTCGAAGAGTTCATTCACAAACATAAGTACAGATTTCCACAGTAGCATCCGAAATGGAAAATAGCAAATTTTTTGTCGACAGATATAAATTAGAAACATCGTTCACAATGTAATTCCAAAAATCAGATGGAACTGAACTATCTAATGATCATTTATTTGATCAATGAATAAAAATAAAGAATTAATGAAAACTTCGACTGACCTAATCAAAAAACGAAACAAAGTGTAGCACGTTACCAATCCAAAAAAGATGCAATTTCATCAGATACTCTAAAGTTATCAGTGAAGGTGGTAATGCTATCATTCAACAAAGAACTTTTCAGAAAATGTCATCTTAACAGGAAACTAATCGTAAGCATTATTAATGTCAGCGTTTCATCAGTCGAAGAATAGTTTGGTGGAATATTTAAATATTGATCTATGAACTCTTCGCGTGAGATGATGATGGAATACCCGAAATGAAAGTTGTGGGTATAAGATAGAGGTCATAGGTCAAGAAGTCTCATTATCTCCAAATGTGAACGATAAAAGAAATAAAGATAGAAGTGATCGTGAATAAATTGGAAAAGAAACGTACCAGTTCTGTGGTACTAAACTGGTTGAGCCAAAACAGATTGCTATTTTTATGTGGACTTGTTGCTGTTCTTGGAAAGCAATGGTTTGCAAAGTGATCATTTGTATTAATTGTGGAAATAGTAGTAGCAATAGTAGTATTTACTGAATTGGTGATATTAGTTATATCAGTAGCAGTAGTGATTGCAATCGTATCACAGTAATTGCTTAAATTCCACAACGAAGTATTGGTGTTGATGCTGGTAGCATTAGCAGTGACTGAGCTGACAGGCTGAGCTTCACCGCCAAAATTAATAACATCACCACCCCAAGTAAAGTCGTCATTTAAAAGTCGCAAATTTGTCTTCTCGTAGCATCCAACTGCCATTTTCTAAAAAAATACAGTTTTAAACAAAAAATTCAAATATGAATAAAGTGGAGTCAGCGGGGTCAAAAGGTCAAGCGAGAACACACGCACAAAACTGGAATGGTAAAAATGTTTCATTCTCCCCCCAGTAGACGCGGACCACAGCACGTGTCACACATAATCTTTAAGCAATTCAACATATTCAACCGCACGCATATAAATTATAACTCCACCTCCTTCCTGGTACTACCTGCCACGATTTATCAGCACCACCCATCTAGTCACCGCTAATAGTTTTCCCCATCTAAGTACCTGACCCCTCACCTATATCGCTTTCCCCTCCCCTCCATCTCTTTGCACTAAATCAAGTCAAAAGGTCATTGAACACACGTTTTTTTGAAATTCTTCCATAATACAGCCAATTAAATAGATTTTGAAAGGTCAAATCGAGTGCGGACGAATTTGACCTTTGAACCAACGCATCGCATAAAACTATCTTTCACCATTTTTATTATTCGTAGTTCACCCAATTATTTCTAAGAAAAAGAATTATGGAAGTTGTAAATAAATAAATATACAAATAATCCCTATTATTTGTAAAGGTCAATAGGTCAAAGTTCGCATATTTTATAAATATCTTTTAAAAATTGGAAATGATTGAACTTTTCAACTCTGCCACTATTGCTCACCTGCTCGTCGTTTATTTACTCACCTACTTTATCTGCTTCGCCACTTCTCGCCGCCCGCTTTACTTACTTCCCCGCCACTTTACCCGCCGCCCGCTTCACTCACTTCCCCGCCACTTTCTTTACTTACTTCCCCGCCACTTTACTTACCCGCCGCTAACTCGTTACTTCAGTTGTCACTTACTTTCAGCCCGTTATTTAGTTTTGCAAAGAAATTCGATACGTTTAGTTAATAAGTGATTGAACTCAACAAAAATTGGTGTGTGATTAATGTGTAAATGATTCATCCTCGTCCGTTCGTCGTTCATTTTTTAACCGCCTTTTTTGAGGAAATGTGACCTTTAAAAGATTGAATATATTCGGGGTCAAGTAACGCGTAAACCCGGATAAAACGGTTGTTTTTTAAACAGAACAACTGGTAGAAAGAAAAGATGGGAATTCACTCCGAAAGGTCACGTAGAAGGTCCGAAAGGCCACGTAGAAGGTCACGTGAAATGCGTCGAACGCAAACGAATGGAGTGAAAATTTAAAAGATTTTTTTCGACGGATGAAATTCTTCATCGGTAAAAATTTTTTTTCCATCTGAAAGCAACAAAACATAATTTTACAAATACGATAAATTTCGAACAATTCGAGTCGTTCGACGTTTTGCTTGAATTTCGCAAGCAAAGAAGCCTTCGGGGTGAGTGATTTGCAAGAGCGAGCTATTTGCTTTACTTTTACTTTTGCCTAAAATAGCACTCACCGTTATTTCAGTTGCCCTTACTGATTTATGTGGAAGTGCAAGAAGCGTTCGCCGGAAATTTAGGAAAAGAGACCGCTTGCTGGTAGCGCCGCGTTCATTACAGGTGGTTCCCCGGGGTTCAGTTATATCTGGTACTGCTCGGGTTTACAGCACTTGCTACCACCTTGGCTCATCGCAGCTGCTGCTACAATGCTATGTTTTTGCTATCGCCATCTTTATCTCTACTTGATTTGCCTTAATAATAATATGAGATTTTAGATAAAATAGATTCTTTACTTTTATTCTTTTTAACTATTAAAAATTGGGTTACCACCTGCCTGTTTCTTTTCCTAAGTGAGTGAAAGGGGCTAATAAGTCATATCAAAAATTTCTCATCATATTAATTGCCAGTAGAGTGATTAAAAATTATGAACGCTAACCAGGTACTTCTTTGTCACCTACTGTCTAAGGTTGATAAGTAATTATTGTTAGTTGATAAGTGAAGGAATATTGGGGTTAGAGGTTAAAAGTTTTCATCAATTTTGTGAATTTTACTCGCGAGAATCGCTCGAGTGTCGTTCTTCATTCGCAGTCATATCTGAGCTTATCCGACTAGGCGAATAGTTTCGTCCTATAAATTTTCCTTTGTTGTCCCTCAACTTGTTCTCTATTTTTTTCCAGAAAATTAGTTCCTCGTTCAAATATTCGGAATAAAAAAAATATAAAATTTTTCGGGTAACAGTCTGTACAATGATTATTCTTATTATTGAATCATACGAAAATCGCTGAAGTGCCTCGAATTGCTTCACAAAAATATTTTTACGATTATCTAAAACCAAAACCATCTAATTATTCCGAAAAAAGAACTCATATCTTAAAATTGGTCGGGCGATAAGATTAAGAATTTTGAGTTCGTAGCTCAGATTGATGGATTGATTACTGGATAGCGGTGTTAGTGGAGAGACAAAAGTTCGGCTCCTGCCTGCCCGGCAGTTACAAACCTATCACTAAGAAGGTCAGGTAGTGGTATGATTGTCTAATGCTTCCTTGGATTTCTAACAGCCAGCGATGGCCAGAAATGGTGAGAGCTAACCACTCATCTACATAATTTTAGCTTCGCCAGGGCCTCGCAATTATCGAAGAAGACTGATCTCACGAATTGAATTAAGCAATCGAAAATCGAAAATATATTGAATTATATAAATTTGTCCTAACTGTACTGCTCCTTATTAAATTCTCCACTTTAATCTAAAGAATCTAGGTCATTCGTTTTTTTTTTCATTCAACTTAGTCATTTCGTTCGAAGAGCAATTAGATTTTCTCATTATTATATTTCTACAAATTGTCTTTTCTTTGCAAGGCACCGTTGAAAATTATTACCACTCCTCCATCTTACCAATAATCTTTATCACTTTATCAATTCTGTGATCATTATTTCCACATCGTCTCGAAGGTCCCATCGGACACCCTCTGCGGTAGAAACGATGCTTTCATTATAAAATTTGAATGGTGCAAAAGCATTGGTTATTTAAAGAAAGGTCATCAAAAGGTCAAACCTATTACGAAATTGGTCGACATTATTTTTTTTTTTATTTATGTTTTGCCAAATTTTAGTTTCATTTTGATTTAATTTTTTCTCTTTAATATCTGTAATTTTTTATTATTTATTATTGTTAATTTATAATTAGTTATAATTAATTAAATAGAGTAGGTGGACCAGCATTATATACTTAGACGATGGAAAAAGGAATGGCTTCCATTACTGTCGACGATGGTATCAGATCGCGCCGTTTGGAAGCATCTTACCCTTGTAGCCGTTGGAGCCAGCCTAACCAGTAATGGTGAAAGCTATTAGAAGAAGAAGAAATAGTCATAGCCTAAGAAATAGCCTAAGCCTAAGCCTAAGCCTAACCAGTAATGGTGAGAGCATGGTGAGAGTAATGGTCCTGGCTGTTAGAAGAAGAAGAAGAAATTGACTGAATGGCGAAAAATGCACCACTTTGATTATCCAAGCTGATGCTGATCCTCTATATCAGTCTGAATATTATTTTCGATTTCTATTTCTGACTAATTATTAAAAAATGAAAAAAGCCATTAATACCAACCATTTTCGGTTAGATTTCTCCAACGGTTGCTAGTACAGAAATTTTGTCAGAAATTTTTCTCATAGGATCATTTGACGATGGGAAATACAAGCGGACTGCCGGGAATATCGTCGGAATACGGGGATGCGAGATTTACTCGCGTAAGTGGAACGCGAACTTTTGCCTTCCAACACGACTATCTGAATCGTTAGCACTCGTCTAACCTCGCAGTTACTATTCTCGCATTCTGTAAAGAACACTGCATTTCAACGTTTATCCAAACATTCCAGACAATGATGTTTTCTTAAACGACCTTCCACTCAATAAAATTTAATTTCATTCATTATAAATCGTCTAAATCTTTTGAAATCACCGATATTATTTTATTATTATATTTAATATTATTTTATTAGAAAATATTAGAAAAATTAATTTAAAAAAATTTAATTTAAATTTAAAAATTTAAATTAAATTTAATAATTTAAGTAATTAAAAAAATAGAATAATAAAAAAAATAGAGAAATGAATTTTTAATTTTTTATAAAATAATTTATAAATAAAAAATAAACAAAAAAATAGGTTTATTTTCGCATTTAAAGATAGGATGATTAGTAAATAAATGGGAGATTCGGCAATTCCGGTTCGGTTAACTGATTGTTATCTGGAAATATAGCCAGGGAATCGCTTGGCGATCGAAGTACGACGTGGATCGCCAGTCCTATAGGGCTGGTTTTTTTGATCACAAGTCGTCTCCTTTTGGATGTGTGAACCGAATCTTTACCTCTTACCAGGATAATCTATTCACTTGGCATTGCTGCATTTAGGAATAATATGGTCGGATGATATGTTACGTGTTCAAAGTTTGGATTCGGTTCTTATGCCTTGATTGAAGCAAAGAAAGAAAAATACACCTATACTTTTATCTCCAACTGATTCTCAGGGAAAGATGCAACTAGTGGAACTAATCCAATCATAAATGGTGAATTCTATTACAAGAGGATTGCGATAAATCGAAAATAATTATTTAAATTATTTATTTATTTTGAATCGCTTATATAAAAATTATCAGAAATGAAAGAAAAAATCGGTCAAAATTTAAATTTTTATTGAAACCAAAATATTCTCAAACCATAATGTCAATCAAAACAGAAAAGTAGTCAGTTCCAAACAATGGAATGCGAAACGTTTTGCGAGGATTTTGATAAATGGGTGGTGGCGGTTTAAATATGAGGAGGAGGACAAGTGAATAGTAATTGCATTGCGTTGACTGCGGATTGAGAACGAGAAGAAGGAAGTAAAGGAAATGGAAGAAGGAAAGTGTTATTGAAGTGGTAAAATAGCTTATCTGAAAAAAATTTTTTAAAAAAACTGCTCTTTCTGACAAAATAAATATTTCGAAAAAAAGAAAAAACAAATTACCGAAATTTTCGCCATTCCTATCTTTTATTTTCAATTTTCTTTTCGTGGGAATTCCGAAAATCTGAAAATTGATTGTTTTTAAAGAAGGCGTTTGATCTTAATCGGCGC